GTAAAGCTTTCAAGGGTTCTACAAGGTTTTTATTCTCCCCATGAAACTCTTTTCCTTTAATCTTCAACAGTGCACAGAACTAAATGCATACAACCAGGTTTTGGAGAAAAACGTGAGACAATAAACGTTACAGGGGGCTACCATATGAGATCTCTAAAAACCTGCTTGCAGATGATACTCAATTTTTTTTAAAATTTATTTGAAAAGGAAATGTGTCTTTATACTAAATCAAGCATTGTAGCAGAATCCTCTGCATGTCTGTAAACACATCCACTTTGTTTAATTCCTTCCTAATTATGTGCAAGATTGTTAAAAATGAGATAAACCATTAAGAGATGCTTTTTTTTTAGAAAGAACGTTAGCATGTGTGTATTTATCCATTAAACACGTGAACGAGAAAAGGCTCCAGAATTGAAGCTATATTCCTACATCTGATTTGGGCTAAATTTGGATTAAGGGCTTGGAAAAAAAAAAGTTTTCTGCAGGCAGAATCTGAACCACAAGATGCTGCCAGCTGATCCCAGAGGTAATATTCAAGACCATCCTAAATGCCTTGTGGCTACTGTGCAACTTTTAAATTAAAATTCTGTTGCTACTATGTGGCTTTCCAGGCAGCCTTTGTTAACTGGAATGTGGTTAATCTAGACTCAAAATAAAAGGGAAACTTGAGGGAAATCAAGTTGAAGATGGCTAGATGGTTGCTTGGCAACCGCAATGCCTCTCCTTACTTCCCGATTCAACAGGAAACATTAGAATTGCATAGCTGGCACTCAAGGGCTATACACTTGACTTACTTTAATAATTGTTTGAATTTAAAAGAAAAAAATGAATTAAATTTCATGGATTGTTTTTTGTTAAAAAGAAATAAGGTCATATTTTTATTTGGTATTCAGAATCAACAGCAGTCATCTCATTTATGCATATACTAGCTGTACCCGGCCACGCATTGCTGTGGCTCAGTCTGGTAAAAGCGTGTGTTGCTTTTATGTCCAACAGATGGCGCTGTTTTTCAAAAAAGCATGTTTTTACCTGTCACAGGTGTGACATCTATATAATATAGGTATATAAAAACACACGCGTATTCGAATGCAACGTTGTGTCAAAATTTCAAAGCAATCAGTGAAGAACTTTCGGAGATTTAAGATTTTGAACAAACGAACATTTACATTTTTATTTATATAGATTACATAACTAAATATTCTAAAGTGCAAAAAATGTGAATTCTCTCTTTCTTTACTGGAATCTGTGACGCATAAAACTGAGATGATTTTCAAGACCTTTAAATGAACCCATTCATTCTGTTTTCTTAGAAATGACAGTTTGAATTGGAAACAAAGTAATCACAACATGCTTTCATTGGCACTGATAGTTTATTAATTGGGATGGATTTGTTATGCACAAAGTATGGTAGTTCTCCCTTAATACATCTGTAGTGCCTTTATGTAACATGTTCATCATTGATACTTTCTGATATCCTTTATAACATTCATATTGGATTTAATTACATATTCTGTAGCCTGATATTATGAATATTTGAATATTCAATGAAACTTCTTGAAATTGGATTTACCTGGTTTGTTATTTTTGTTTTTTCACCTGTGTGATTAATGATACAAAGGACACCCTTTGGGGGGATTATTCAAAAAGTAAGAGCAGAACTCGTTTTTTAACTCCCCCCCTTTTTAATCCTCTCTCCTAACTTTTCTGTTATTTTATATTTAACTTCTTTCTTAAACTTAATAAATTTAATAAAAAAAGGTAAGGACAAAATTAAGGCTTCTCTGGGGATAGACTGTATACAGTACTTATTTAATCAGGGTAGATTTGGAGTCTAGGAAACCCCTCAAATTGCACACTAGGTCTCTCTAGGGAGGTGTAATCCCATCCAGCACCAAGGATGACATAATCCTGGAACCGGTGGACCCCCAAAACCAGAGTCACTCAGTCTAGTCAGGGTTCAGATGAAACCTGTTGTTCCCTATCCAGAGTTCCCCCAGCACAATGTACCTTCCTCCTATTTTCTCCACAACTCAACAAACCTGTGAGGTAAATTGGGCTGAGAGAGAGTGACTGATCCAAAGTCACCCAGCTGGCTTTCATGACGAAGGCTGGACTCGAACCCATGGTCTCCCTGTTTCTAGCCTAGTGCCTTAACCACTAGGTCAAATTGGCTTCTGTTACTACTTGGGAACTTCCTTTCCTTCGTGTGAGCCAGAGAGGAAGAAGCTTCATCACCACATAGTGAGAAAAGAAAGGAAATATGCAGTAGGGGGAGAAGGATATTAAAACCCTAGCACAGAACCATGGAGAGGTGTGTTTGTGTGTGTGTTTGTGTATGTGTAGAATCTGAGAAAGTGAATAGAAGAAAACAAAGGGTGAAAGATTCCAACATTTCATAGAAACTTTGTATGTTGAGGTGGGGGGGGATAGGAAGGGATAGTAGGAAGGGTTGGGTGGTGAGAAATGTGGGGAAAAGTATATCTGGGGTGTCTTTGGTAGCTTCCTTAGAGCAATAAAAGGGGAGGTAATCTAAAAAGTGAAGTGTTGTGTCTCGTTTTTACACATTTGAATGTTATATCGATGTGTTAGTTTGGCTAAATAACTAGCATAGATCAAGCTTTTTTTTCCCCTTTCCTGTATCTATTTTTAAGGAGAAAATAGGAGTGAATTAATGATAATTTCAGATGACACCAAGCTTGGGACACTATTAAAACCAAAGCTCAGGAAATCATACATTGCAAAGTGAACAATCTCAGGAACTGGGCTAATACAATAGAAGCTGGTAGTGCAAAGTTGTGTCTTTGAAAACATTTCTCAGGGCTAGTTTACATTATATAAAGCATAGATAATCCTCAACTTATGACTGTAATGCAGCCTCGATTGTAAGTCATGAAAGTCATAAGTTGAGGCACCCATGTGACTGACCCAATTTTAGGACCTTTATTGCAGCTATCATTATGCAATCATTAACTGACTGTCCCAGTCGTTAAGTGAGACAACAGGATAATCAGCCATAAAGGTGATCTGGTTGTCAACTGCTCAAAATGCAATCATGTGATGGGGTGGGTGGGTGTGAATTAAGTCATAAATAACTTGTGAGGGGAATGTCTGTTGTAACTTCAAATGGTCGCTAAGTGACCGGTCATTAAGCAAGAATTAACTGTATAGGGCTACCAGATCTGGTATGTAAAAAAAGGTGGAAAAGAATTATTTATATATTTACATTTCTTCTGCTGACATCCAGTGGTTTGCTGGATTTTTGCAGACCAAACCTGGTAGTCCTAATAAATATGTGTAGAGCTATGTATATATTATAGGGAGAACAAGATGCTTGAACTGGTGGTGTGTATGTGAGCTAACAGCTATGTTGTTGAGCTGGCTTATAGTTTATAAATAATGTGACTCATAAACTCGACAAATTCTGACTTGTTCAGTAAACTATGGGTGAACAAAGGTTTTTACATGGTAAGCCCACAGTGTTCTGAAACTTTACCAACCTGCTTTCATAGAGAAATTTAAGTACTGTATGAATCTCAATTTCAGTAAGTACTGTAGTCAATTAAAAAGCTGACCAAACGTACATCAAACAGGTGACCTTGAACACTGGCTATACTCAGAAGATTGAAATAGGAATTTGTGCTTCCCTAAATGCCGAAGTCTCTAGACAAGTGGACTGTTGGCAGGAAAAAACAGCTGAAGGAAAGTGTAAGATAAGATAACTACAGCCTTCTACTCTTAGGGTCCAACATTCTTTATCTTGCAGGCCTCCTGCTATTTTTTCCCCCTAGCTAAACCACTTCCTCTCCTGCTGGCATACATATTGCACTTGATTTAAACCTCTAGCAAGTGCCAGGGAGGAATAAATGTATTGAACTTTTTTCCACCCTGTTGATCCCCGTTAATAATCTGGTGTTGCAAAATGCCAAATGGACGATCTGATCTGTATCTTTAGAAAATTATTTATTGGGCTGGCAAAAGTGACGATGAGATCTGAACAGTTTTTACAGGAAGAGAGAGAAGGGGAGAAGAACAGTACAGGGAGTCCTTTACTTACAGCCACAATTGAGCCCAAAGTTTCCATTGCTGAGCAAGGCCGTTGTTAAATGAGTTTTGCTCCATTTTACAACCTTGTTTGCCACAGTTGTTAAGTGAATCACGTCATTAAGCGAATCTGGGTTCCACCATTGACTTTCTTTGTGGAAAGCTGGTTGGGAAGGTTACAAATGGTGATCACAGGAACCTGGGACAAAGCAACTATCATAAATACATGTGACCAGGGAGATGCTGCAACAGTTTTAAGCGTGAAAAACGGTCATAAGTCACTTTTTTTCAATGCCATTGTAACTTCGAACAGTCACTACTACACGAATGGTTGTAAGTCGAGGACTGCTTGCAGTAAGTATACATGGAATTATTATCTAGAAGTTTCAAAGAAAGCAGAGAATCTTTGATTCTGCAGTGGAGCTTCAGAAAAAGAACAAAAGTTTCAAAGATGGGAAAAACTAGTATCTTTTCCAGGTTGTTTGCTATGTCAGAAAAAGTAAGGGCTGAAGATTTAAAGGGATATAAAGTGGAGTCAAAAAGATCTTATGATCCCAGAGGAAAAATAAATGCCCATTCAAAACGAAATTTGCAGAATGCCAGAAAAGTAGCTTGAAGCCCTGTCCTACATATTGTCCCTTTAATATATGTGTAAATCACATTTTTTCCTACTTTATCTGTCTTATTTTACCTCATTTGTTCTTTCTCTCATTTCATTTTACTAATCTCATTTTTAAAATTTTTTATATTGTTCTTTGACTGCAGATTTATAAATAAGTAAAAAAATTAATGAAATAAGTTGCTTAAAACAGCTATGATCGAGAGGTGATCCAAATAATGAAACCAAATCATTCCTAGTCAGCTCATTCCATGTAGTTTACTTTATACTTCTGTAATGGTCTGTATGAATACAGAGCATATTATCAAAATAACGGCTTTTTTCCCTCTGATGTTTCAAGGAACATCCCATCAAGGTGGCTATTCCCACGAGGCAGTGGTATATGCCCTTCAGAAATGTGGCATTCGTCATATCGACACGGCAAAACGATATGGCTGTGAATCACTCCTGCAGAAGGCTATCAAAGGGAGTGGAATAGAACGGGAGAATCTCTGGATAACAACCAAACTCTGGCATGCTGACTATGGCTATGACAAAACAAAACAAGCCTGCTTGGAATCTTGCAACAGACTTGGGGTGGAATATCTAGGTATGAAGCTGGTTTTTCCTATTCTGGTTCAGATTATTATAGTCATAAATCTTGGTGAACATTTAATACATTTTTCTTATTGCATCACCTGCAATTTTGTGATTGCTCTGGAACACAAACAAGAATTTTTAGCAGGGAGATTATTCCTTTAGATTCTTTAGCTAATCTTTTTAACCATAAGAAAGAAAACACATCTTAACAAGGATTGGACGGTTATTAAGAGAATTTGTCTGCTTAGCCTTGAGTGATTGATTATGTGCCATCAAGTTGGTGTCAACTCTTAGTGACTACATAGATTTTCTCTTGAATGAGCTATTCCCCAACTGCTCCTTCAGGTGCACCCATTGCTACTGTATCCATGTTGTAATTGAGTGTTGTAATTGAGTCAATGTTTCCCAACATTATACACTTCTCTAGAGAGCCAGGTCTTCACATAACATGATAATTGGAGGCTAGTCATTTGTGCCTTGATTGAGACTCTGAGTTGATTTATTCAACTACCCATTTGTTTGTTTTCTTGACTATCCATGGTATTCTCAGAACTCTTCTCTAGTGCCAACATGAAAAAGTCTCAATGCTTTTATATCCTGCTTAACCTTAATCTTTTTTTAATATCAATGCTAATTTCAGTACTTTTAAAGCACCCCCCTTCAGTCAAAGCAGAAAGGAACAATTTTGAAAAAGGGTCATGTGATTTGTACTTCTTACCTTAAATCAGGGGTCCCCAATCCTTGGGCCATGGCCCATTACCGGGCCGTGGCCTGTTTGGAACCGGGCTGCGTGAACGGCTGGATGGCGCACAAACACATGTACATGCGCAGCTTGAGTTGCATGAGCAGTGGGCCAGTGCACAACTCGAATCGCATGAACAGCGGACCAGCACATACATGCACATCTTAAGTTAAGTGAGTGGCAGGCTGGCACGCACATGTGCAGTTCAAATTACATGAGCGGCGGGCCAGTTGCCCTCTGCTCCCCACCGGATCACCAAATAGTAAAGGTTGGGGACCGCTGCCTTAAATGATTGCTGCTGTAAATAGCAATGCTATTAGCAATGTTATCTGTTATAGCTCTTAAAGCAGTATTTAGCTGCTATGCTATTGTAAAATCTCTACAGAGCTAGAATAAGTTCAATCTTAGTGCCATTTAATAGCACTAACTTATACTGATCTGTTTTTGTTAATTTTTCTTACAAACAGAGAATCTCAAATTTAAGCCTCTTAGAAAGATTCTGATAAGACTTAGTGGCACACCTACAAATTGTATAATTAATCTGTTGCAAACAATCCCTTATCCCCTTGTTACAACAGTGTGATTAATTAACGTGAGGAAAACATACTTAGCCCCTCCAGGTTGCATTAGAAATTGGTATGGATGAAATATTTCCCCAAGGAAAATCAGTTGGTTCATACTGGGCCCTCAAGCCAATATGTTTTGGCATAGCATAACCATTGTGATGGCAGTTTGTGGCCTAGCATGTTTTGTGAATACAGCCAGAAATTCAACCAGCCACTGTAAAGCAAGCCATAGCTTAGAATGACCAGATTTTCTTCAAATTAGGAAGAAATGCAGAAAGACATTCATGTGTTCCAATCTCCTTCTAAGAAGAAATAGTAGCCAGAGAAAGAGGAAGTGTTAACTCATGCCTTTTCTGAGTTTGTGTGCGTTGGAGGCATTAAACTAGTTATGGATAGCCTAGTCATCTGGTTGTGACCCAAACCGAAGTAGGGTCTTGAAATATTCTTCTCCTTGAAATACTGCTTTTCGTCATGCTAAATGGGTTTATTGAAAGTTTTCTTTGCATTCAGAAAAGGATGCTGAATTGCTCCTATGTTTCTCTTCTGTCACAAATACGGGAGAATATTCTCATAAACAAAGAACCAATAATTAAATACTGTCACAACAAATGGCTTTATTTTTCTATCCCAACTTTTAGTTTCTCTAATATTTTTTCCTCTTCATTCTTTCGTTGTAATTTGGTTTCTAGTGCTGAATACTTCACAAAGGAAGATTGGTCTGACAAATTACATACCGATGAGAAATTGAAAATGTGCCAGATTGTGGGAGCAGTATTCTAACATTTTTTAAAATATATTTTTTATTAAAATACATGATTTTCACTTGTTCTCTATAAGTTATTATAATCTGGCTTTAGGCGTTCATTGATAAATATTGAAAACAAATGGAATGGATTTGGAGGTTGGACTTAAGAGTTTGCATTCCTTGAAATCTGGACTCGTGATGTCATGATAACATCTCCTCACTCCTACATCACCCTTGTTTGCTGAATATATAAATGGTGATATTCTCTCCCATGCGTGTTTTGAATTGGTTTCTGGTCCCTATTAACAGCTTCCCTTTTATTGTGTTGGGAAGCCTGACGGAATTGCAGATATTAGTTCTACTAACAAACATGCTGATAGGCTTGCATTTTGAATGAAGACGAATTTCTCTTCTAAGCCCCGACAGTGCCTGGGGAATAAGCAGTCACTGAAAATTAATGAGATACCAAGGGCGGCTTCAGAAGGCAGATTACCTGGTTGAAAATCTATATACAATGAAATGTTTTATTCTCCTGTTTCTTTGTTTAGGGACATCCTATTTTACCCTTGTGTAACTTCATTTTGATTACCCAGATTGAATGGAAATGTAAAATTCAAGAAACTGGTTTCATTGGCAGGTGTTTGGTAGGTAACTGTTGTGCTAAGCTAAAAGTTACCATACATATAGCACAACAAACATGTACATATGTAATGATATGTGGGAATGAGCTTGGGAGGCAGGGAAAGAGCCATAACCAGGGGAATGGTTAGACAAGAGGCAGTTTAGCCTGCATAAGAAATGTAACTATGGCAATCATCGCAGAAGGGACCTCTCCCCCCCCCCCCCTTAGCTTTCCTGGGCTATAAAAGCGATTGAGCAAAAATGTACTTTCAGACTTGCAAGATTAATATTAACTCTAATTAATATTAATTAATATTAATTAATTAAAGAATTAATATTAATTTCAAACAACAACAACAACAACAACAACAACAACAACAACAACAACAATAATAATAATAATAATAATAATAATAATAATAATAATAAAGTTGGAAGGGACCTTGGAGATCATCTAGTCCAACCCCCTGCTCAAGCAGGAAACCCTATACCATTTCGGACAAATGGCTGCCCAGTCTCTTCTTAAAAACTTCCAGTGTTGGAGCATTCACCGCTTCTGGAGGCAGGTTGTTCCTCTGGTTAATTGTTCTAACTGTCAGGAAGTTTCTCCTTAGTTCTAAGTTGCTTCTCTCCTTGATCAGTTTCCACCCATTGCTTCTCGTCCTGCCTTCAGGCGCTTTAGAGAATAGCTTGACTCCCTCTTCTTTGTGGCAGCCCCTGAGACGTTGGAACACTGCTATCATGTCCCCCCTCGTCCTTCTCTTCGTTAAACTAGACATACCCAATTCCAGCAACCGTTCCTTATATGTTTTAGCCTCCAGTCCCCTAATCATCTTTGTTGCTCTTCTCTGTACTCTTTCTAGAGTCTCAGCATCTTTTTTACATCGTGGTGACCAAAACTGGATGCAGTATTCCAAGTGTGGCCTTACTAAGGCATTGTAAAGTGATATTAATACTTCACGTGATCTTGATTCTATCCCTCTGTTAATTCTATTAATATAACCTCTAAATGAAGTAAAATTAATTCACCTGGGTGTGTTTCCTGTCTGGCCTACTTCACAAGGCTGATTTTGGGAGAAGAGCAGGCAAAACTGGAGGGCAGAGTAAAACACTTCATCGCTTTAGAGTTCTTGCGTTGCCACAAGAGACTCAAGTCCAGCCCCTCCCCCTTGAATTCTCTTGACCCATATCTAGCACCAATTTATTGCTGTCCATTACTTCATCAGATTCTTCTGCGTAGGCTTCAATGCTGCAACCTATACAAATGGTCCTGATTCTTTGCATCTGACACTGACAGTACTACCTAATCGATAGAGTTGCTCTTTGTCCCCTCTTTTACTTAAGAGAATCAAGGTAGGCCAATCCTGAATTTCTCACTCACCCCTTCACGTCTTCCTGGGCTTAGCTGATTTTTTTTTTTAAACAACTGCTCCATATTTTCTTCAAGGTAATAACAACTGCTCCATATTTTCTCTGAGGCTTTACATCTGGTCCATAGAGACTGAAGTTCATAGATTCAGTAAATGCTTTTATGTATTGGAGGCTTTCAAGAAGAGACTAGACAGCCACTTTTCATCACTGGAGGCTTTCAAGAAGGGATTGGACAGCCCTTCCCAGAAATGGTATAGGGTCTCTCTGCTTGAGCAGCGGGTTGGACTAGAACAGGGCTTTTCAACCTTTTCAACCATTGTATCACTTTTAGGATATGGCAATATTTTTGTACCACCAGTCGCCTAGCAAGGTGTCAAAAACTTGATGACCCCCCCCAAAAGGAAAAATCTGATGAAGTACAGGTAGTCCTCGACTTACAACAGTTCGCTTAGTGACTGTTCGAATGCCAGTTACAATGGCACTGAAAAAAGTGACCCCCCCAAGCCACAGCCGAGCAAGATATCTGCCTGCCCACCTGGCCGCGCTCTTCCTCCTGTCCGAGGTTTTCATTGTTGTGAGCATTTCTGTTGAGGATTGGCAGCAGGGGTGGGGGTGTTTGGCTTTTATTCCCCCTCCTCGTCTGCTGGGTGGTTGCAGCAGGTTTTGGTCACTTCACATGACCCTGGGACACTGT